GCAACAAACTGAATGTGAGATACATTTGGAAATTATACAATGGTTAATTTCCAATGGATGGATATATCCATATATAATTTCCAGTGGATAGATATCCAGGTTTTATTAAGAAATCAAGAAACTCAACAAAGAATCCAGCAAAATGTCACAAACAGGCAATTTTTAGACACAAATGACCAACATTAAAATGAAAAAAATGCTTAGAATCATTATCTGTCATGGATATAAATTAAAAACCACCACGTGGTTTTACCTCACCCCAATTAGAATGGTAGTCATCTGAAAATTAAAAAACAATTAATGGTGATGAGGATATGGGGGGAAGGTATCTTAATCCACTGTTGGTGGAAATGTAAAGTACTATAACCATTATGATGTACATTTTGCAGATTCCTTAGACATATTAATGTAGATCATCCAAATGATCCAGTCACCCACTCTTAGATTAACCAGAATCAAATGAAATCAGCATGTGAGAAAATTGTACCCTTATGTTTACTGCAGCTCAATTCACAATAGCTGACTTATGGAAAAAACCCAGATATTCATCAACAGATTTATGTGGTACATATACTCTATGGAGTATTATTCAGTCATAAAAAGAATTAAATCCTATCTTTTGTAACAAAAAGGATACAACTAGAAACCATAATGTTGAGTGAGATTGACATTTTGAGATTTTATTTATAATTTATATCCATTGTCTATCCACTTGCAGAATGCTAGGTTGTTTCTTAATTGCTATTTGTTAAATTATTTTAATAATGGAGTGTTAAGCTTCTAATTTTGAAGTGAACTAAAACTGCTCATTGTAATTTTTAAAAAAGAACAAATGAGGGGTGAGGGTGGGGAACAAGTCCCAGTGAGAGGGTAAGATGGGAAACATAATTATACTCCTAAGTCTGTATCTGAGATATGTGAAAATTGTTCAGTTTGTATGAATAAGTGAAGAAAAGAAAGCAACAGAAGATGGCACAAATTCTCCTGCCACTGTTACTCATGTGGACAATCTGCTTGGGATTCTAGACTCCTGCCTTTACCCCTGGCCACTGCAGGCATGTGGGGTGTAAATCAAGGATGGAAGTTTCCTTCTATGTCCCTCTCTATTTGTAGCTCTCATTCAAATAACTCCTATGTGTTTATATATACACATATAGATATATATGTATAAATATATACATAATATATAAATGTATGTAATTCTCATTTTATTTTAAGGAACAATGTGTTACAACAAGAAACATGTTGAATGCAGTTCAATTAAATGAAAGAATATGTTAGCTGTGGGGAGCTGTAGAGAGCCTGCAGCCCACACCCTAGACAGACAGGCGCCGAACTGATGCTTCCTGCTGTGGTAGAAAAAACAAGTTTCAGGAAGTCTGCTGTGATTGGCCCAGGGGTGCGTGGATGGCGCGTGGACAGCGCGTGATCTGTGTGAGGATTGGCCTGCCTGCTGCATGCAGAGCTGACCTTTACGCTGATTGGCCGAGTTACCCAATATAAGGGAGACAAAAAGAGAGAGAGAGAGAGAGAGAGAGAGAGAGGGAGAGGGAGAGAGAGGGAGAGAGCACATCTTGCCAAGATGTAGTTGCTGTGCGCCTCGTCATGTGGCGGCTGCACGGCGGCTGCATGGCGGCCGCTGTGCAGCCGCTGCGCACTGGTTTTGCTGTGTCATCTCCACAATAAAGGTTCCACAAAGACAACGAGTGTCTGGGTTTGACTTGCTGGCCAAGGGACCATTAGACACATTAATGTGGAAAGTATATTTTAATAATCAAAGATACAAAACTTTTGATATTATTGCTGTATTATTTTCATAAGGGGATTACAATTACAATAAGATAACAACATGCGGTGGTACCCCTAAGTATCTGAACTTTCAAATATGTCTTCAATTCGCTCTCATGTTTTCATACAAGTGTGCTAATATGGAATGTGCTAACATCTGTCTCACATTAAGAATCTGATGTGTGATGAGACCATGTGCTTTGAATGCAGGTACAAAGCTCTTGTGTGACAGAACCAGGTAGTATGTCCTGAGTTCCTAATCTCCATTTGCTGTGTGTGACACACTGTCTTATCTTTCTATAAGGCTATTAATTTTAGTGATTGAAACATAAGGCTTTAGCTTGGGATTTTAAAAGCAAAATTACTATACTTTACTTTTAAGCAAGGGCAAAAATGTAAGTCACTAACTGTTGATAAATCCTAAATTAGTTTGAGTGAAGATTCAAGATGATATTATTGTATATTTAAAGCATATAGTTTGAGTAGAGCCATGCCACATATAGCACACAGAGGAAGATACTATTCTTAGCATTTAATGAGCTTTAAAGATAATTTCAGTTATTAAGAAGAGGTACAATAATGACATCCTTTAAGGCCATATCAAGTAGTATGCCTGCCAGTGACAAATTGCTGAAATATTTGATATGTGTAATACCGTGTCTTTCCTTAATTCTTGCTAGGCATTTTATTGCACTGTTACTCTTGTATTTGATAATTAGTGTTTGTGTAACACTCTCTTCTGCATCAGAGAGGGATGATCATAAACACTCCTATTAACCTGGACCTAGACGTTTTTCGCTACCTTCCTACCTCTCTACCTATCTTTGTCTCTGTCTCTACTTACCACTTCTCTGCCTATCTCTTACTTTTCTACACCTCTATTTCTATTTCTACCCCTGCCTGCCCCGTCCCCTTTTCTGTTTCCCTGTAACCAAGTGATTGAAACCTATCCTTTGTTTTCTCATTATCTTTAAGGTAGGACCTGGCAAATATAGTTCTGATCTGTGAAGCAAAAAAATATGTGTATAAATTTATCAACACTGAATAAGGACATAAATTTATATTTATCAATGCTGAATAATAAATTCCTCTTTAGATCACTGGCTAACTCAAAGTTCCTCATTTTCTGTAACCTGCTCATCTTCCTGGTCCTGTCTTCATTTCTTGCCCTCGCCTTATATAGCTTCTTCGTCTATTCTGTAATCAGTAATGTAAAAATTGAGCAGTTAGATGAGTTCATCAACTTTGCAAAACAACTGACTCACCATTTACTGTTCTATAAACTTTTCATGTAGGACTCTCAGTTGCTCTCACCATGTAAATGGGACTACTGCTTTAATATCTAGGTCCAGAAGAAATGAATGTATGCTTAATCTGAAAATAATTTCTCCATGCTGCTTCTCACTAATTCGCTGGTTTCCAATGTATTTTCTGAATGCTTATTTTGTATGAAGTACTAAATTAATAATATAAGGTTATAAACAACAAAAATACTTTTTCTCCAATAGTACATTGGAATATATTTCTACAACTGTACATTGAAGAAAGGATGCAAAAAAGAGATAGATGTTTGGAATGAAATTATAGTAAGTAATATATATTAGAGCACAGACTTTGTTTCTATCAGTTTGGACTTGGTATCACTCAGAAGGTGATATTTCAATGATCTATGATGAAAAGTAATGATAAGCATGTCTGGAAGAAACAAAAATATTCAGTGATAAATGAAAAATGCACAAAATCCACAGGAGTGGAAAATAACCGTCCTTGTACATGGAACTTCAGGTAATCAATGCCTGCTTCCAGAGACTCAAGAGATAAACTGAGTGAAATGTGTTTCAAAAGGTAAATATGGAATAAAATAATGGATATGCTTGAATAGTACAATAAAAAAACTTGAAAAAGCACGGAAATCATTGAGTTACTTAGCAGGGAGGGATACTTGGTCTTTTTGTCCATTTTATTTTAAATTCACATTTGCTGTTTCTTTGTTTACAATACCCTTCCCACATAAATCTCTCAACTTGCCACACTTTCATCTAGGTGTTTGTGAATTTGATTTATTATCTCTGAATGTTGCTCCATCTGTTTTGTTAAACTTTTTATTCCTTTATTTTTGTGCTTGTGGTGTGTATGTTTTATGATTCTTTTATAAAACCATAACTTTGTAAAAATTGATCTTGACTTGAATTCAGGGAAAATTTAAATTGGTCTCTGGATCTTCACTATCTTCTAGCATGTTACCTTCTTGGTGCTCAGAAAATTTTGCTGACTGATCAAAAGCATGTCTTGGCAAGAAAAATGTGATTATTGAAGAAGATACACGAGGTAGAAAAGATGTTAAAATTAGAGCTACATGGGAGATAGTGAGACCAAAAAAAAAAAAAATTTAGGAGTTAACAAAGAAATGAAAGAGACACCAAAGAGAAAAAAACCGATTAAATGTGACAAGGGCTTGAGAGCAGATTGAAGATAGTTCTTGGTAACTTAGAAAAAGTTTGGATATTATTTCTGTATGAAGAATTTTCCTGTCTAGTGCAATAGCCTACTGGCTAAATCCTCACCTTGCATCTGTTGGGATCCCAGCTGGGCTCTGGTTCTTGTCCCTGCTGTTCCACTTCCCATCCTGCTCCCTGCATGTCGCCTGGGAAAACAGTAAGCAATGTCCCAAAGCCCTGGAACCCTGTACCCGCGTGAGAGACCTGGAAGAATCTCCTGGCTCTGGCTTCAGATCAACCCAAATTCCAGCTGTTGGGCAAATTAAGGAATGAACCAGTAGATGAAAGATCTTTCTCTCTAACTCTTTCTTTCTGTATTTCTGCCTTCCAATAAAAAAATAAATCTTTAAAGAAATAAAAAATGGAGAAGATTCACTGGGCAAAGACATAAGTTTTCTTTTGAATATATATGGTACATTTATTGATGTCTAGATACCGTAATCATTCCACGTGAAAGTAGAAATGCAGCTTATGATTTATCCTGTCTTAAAACGTAGAAACTGTCCTTAAAATATTTGAATATTAGGACCAAAACCTGGGAATGACTAAACAAAGAAATAAATGTCTGTATGATTTAATTCCTCAGAAAGATACAGTATGTAATTCTTCTCACTAGTCTGAAAGTTTAGGGTTTCAAGAGTTCAAATGCTTTTTGAATCTTGCTGAACTGATTCCAGAATAATCACATGTTATTTCTTTCTTGCTTCTCTGCAGTATGCTGTCTGGCTAGTCCTCTGGGTTACGTGGAATGTGTTTGTTATCTGCTTCTATTTGGAGGCCGGGGACCTCTCAAAGGTAATTTACGGATGATTTGCCTGAATCATCAGTAGCATGCTAACATGTCTTTGTAAGCAAGCCAGAATCTCACCCTGATCATGTTGCTTAGATGTACCTTGCAGAAGGGTAAATTGAGTGGTGTCCTTAACTATAACATGCATTTTTATCATTGAAGACATGTCAATTGTGTTATAAAATATATAACTTAAAGCAAGACTAGTTTGAAAATTGATTATTTACATGGTGTTGATGTTCCCTGATGTTTAACATTCATTTGTGAGAGACTACTGATAAATATTTAGAAATATTTCAGAGATAACATCTTGGAAGAGTTGAAGAGACAGACATTGCATATTTTTCCATTAAATGTTTTCCTAGTTGAACACAAATAACAGCAACATGATTTAATCATTCGGTTTTATTTGAAAAAATAAGTGCCGGAGAAATATGACACAGAGAAATAGAGAAATGGTAAACAAATATTTTATTCTGAAGAAGCTTTATAAAAGACTTAGAATAACAGTTTTTATTCATAAAGAGAACTTTGTACACTGTTTTGTGTTGCTATTATCTTTTTAACATGAGTGATTTCATCGTTGAAGCAGAGTAGAGTTTAAATATCTAAAACTGCTTTTTTCTTCTACTGAAATGTAACTAATAAAAACTAAGTCAAATGAGGTAATCTATTGAAGGCAGTTGCAAATATTGACTCTTCAGAGTTTCAACTTATGTGTCTTCATATATGATACAATGGGAAAATTATTAAATTTTCTTTTTTTCTACTTCATTAGAAGAGAATGTCCTGGCAAATTTGTTGACATTCTTAAAACAGAGATTTACTGTACATGTTAAAAAGGCTCCAATTGCTAGAAAAAAAGTATAAAAGGGAAAAAATATCACTGGAAATTATTCATGCAGTCATATTTTGTAGGGAGGGATAAAGGGTGGAAGAGTTAGAAATGTCTATAAGAGACATATATAGTATACAGTAACATAGAAAAGCTTAAAAAGCACTTTGATCATCCTCTTTCTTAAAAACTATGATTTGTGACATTATGCCAATTAGAAATAATATGGTTTTTGTTATTCGAAAGTGATAGCCAAGTCTATAGAATAAGGTGACATGAAAGAACAAAAGAACCAGAGATTCTGAGATGTGTCTGATCACATGTGAGACAAGTTCTCATTGTCATCTGGAAAATCCATTCCAGTGGATAGTGTTTGAGATTCTTACAAGGGACATGACCCTCCATACCCTTGGTAGCAAGCAGTCCTTTCAGGAAGCTGCTGTGACCAATGAAAATAAGTTGTTCTTGCTTTGCCTGCATGTGAGAAAAGCAGGCACACCTTCTCTAGGTCTTGAATTCCTTACCCAATTTATACATCTCTGCTTCTCTATTATCCACATTCTTCAAAGAAACTCCACACTGGAATGACTTTTAATGCTACTTTCAACGTTGGATAACCACATTAAAAATTGCCGGGCAGGTGTTCAGGCATTCTAGCTGAGTAAAATAATCCAGCAGATCAGCAGATCAGTGTTGGTTAATAGGAAATAAGGAGAGAGGGGAGATTTCAACCAGACTGGTTGTACAAATGTTCTATAATTGTGCTCACTACTTCACATGATAACTATCAACATCAAATAAAGCTTGTGATTTCATGACCTTGGGTATGGGTGTTGAATCCACTTCTTAAACATTACAAGTTAAGGGTGTGGTAATTCAGAGTCAGAATTCTTACAAAGCACACTGGCGTTGAAGCAGTTAATGTATTTCTATTTCTTTTTATCTTATATACCAAGGCTAAGCTTGGCAGAACACATGAAAATGTAATATTTTCCTTTTAACAAGTAATCTAATGGAAAACAATAAAGGGCTACATTATATAGTTATCTGTACTGCATTTTTCTTTCCTTCCCTGCTCAGAGAATTTGAGAAATGGGTATTTATACCATGTAACCCTTCAGTATTTGCAACTATTTCCCACTATGTAAATAAAACAGTGACAGAAGGAAGTAATACTGGTTGAAAAAAATGTACAGTTGCATGAAAAATAGAGATCCTGAAACTCTTGACAATACTTAAAATTTAAATGCAAGCTACTGTTTTTCCCAACTCACTAAAGGTTGGAAAGTGTCTATCATGTAAGTGAATGAGTTGCTTTGAATCTCATGATGAAATATGGAAAATACAATGAAAGAAACAAAAATCTGTGACATACCTATTTGTGAAAGAAAAATGGTTATTTCCAGAAAACATTTTTCATAAGTATGTGATTCTTTCACAGTGAATATTGGCAAGAAGTGAAAAAAAAAAAACAGCATGAAAATTTAGGGCAAATTGGCTAGCTAAGTTGAGATTGTTGTATTACCATTGTTCACAATATATCTTCTACTTTTCCTGATGAACTACATAATTTAATTTTTACAAGTGAAACCACAGTCATCAGCTAAAGTGGTACATATTTTCAGGGATGAAATGGTTTCTATAAAAATGAAGCATACAGTCATCCTATTGGAACTTCAGTACTTTTGCACACACAATTTTAATAGCTAATATATGTTAAAATTGTGGCAATCCAACATTTATTATTAAAATTTCAATTAATATATTTCAATTATTATCCTCATGCTTCCATTAGTAAGAAGCATTGTATTATAAAGATATAGCTGTTAAGTTCATAATGAGAATATAAAGTGATATATGCTATGATAGTAACAAATAAGCATACACAATAAATAATAATTATTTCCAAGTTATTTTTCTTCATTAAATATTAATGCAAAACTAAATATTTCCAACATGAAGTGTGCTATTTCCTGAACTGATACATTAATAGATTTCTTGTTCAGGAAATCATTATGAAATTAGTCTATAATTCAAATTGTCTAATTATATTATAGCCAATTATACTTGAATATTAATTGTATTTGGCTATTTGGATTCATACTTTTGATAATTCCTCAGATAGTCTTTTATTTTGTTGTACTGTTTTTGACAGTTGTGATTCTCCTGTTTATATGTAAAATGCAGGGAAATGATATTTAATTGAAACCACCAACTTAGTTATTTTGAAGAGAGATGCTATTTGTATTATAAATCTTAACATCAAAATATATAGCACTTAGAAGGAAAATGCATATAAAATATGGCAATTCACATATTTGTTTTTACCTGGGAAAATGAAATATATGAAATATTTTTTTCTGTGTAATAGGTATGGGAAAACTTTTAGTCGTCTTTTGCTTATCCATAAAAATTTCTACTTTATTGGTTATAATAATTAGTATATATTACTTATGTAAAATTTATATTCTAATCTTTCCTAAATATGACTGTTTTCAGATGTCATTTTCTATTTGCGCTATATGGGGTGATATCACTGAATCATGTAACTACATTTAGAAAATAGAACAGTAAACTTGGATACCACACAAGAGAAATGGAGATTATTTTACTGTGAATATAACATGGTTTGTTATTATTTAACCTCTGGTAACTAGGGATGCAAGGACCTATTGCTCAGCTTTCATTACGTTATCAGAAAGTTATCCGACCATAAATAAAAGTAATTCAGTTATAGATGAGCATATATCTGTTTAGTGAACACATTTGATAGTGTTCACATTTGATGGAAACTTCTAGAAAGTTAGCACTGAAACCATTTTGATATTTGCTTTTAAAATCTAGATATAATTACCATTTAAATATTATATCATATGAAAAAAACCACTAAAATTGTGACCTCTTTTGACATTGGAAAATAAGAAGATGATGGAATAATTTGCTGTTGAAATAAGTCAAGTCATATTTCGTCTATTATAATGGATTATCACTGACTGGGGAAAGTTTGTAAAAGCTAACTATGCAAAGTAACAGCATATAAATCTATGTTTCAAGATACAAGATAGTCTCCTGCTAGAAATAAAAAGAAACAGACACAACCATGATCTATAGAATTACCACATGTTTGTTCTCCAGAGCCTACATTATGGAAATTATTCTAGAACCATAATTGTTACTCAGTACCATATTCTAAAAAACCATGACACTGTCTGCAGTACCAGCATCTCATATGGGCACCAGTTTGTTTCCAGGGTGTAATACTTCCAGTCTACTTCACTGCCTAAGTGCATGGGGAAGCAGTGGATGAAGACACAAGGCCTTAGGCCTGTGCACACATTTGGAAGTCCCCAAAGAAACAACTGGACTCTAGGTTCTGTTTGTCATCCCCAGCAATTGCAGCTATTGTAGTGAATCTATGAATGGAAGATCTGTCTCTCTTAACCCTTCTTTTTTATGTAACTTTCCTTTCGAAGAATTAAAAATCTTTAAACAAAAATGAAGAGTGGGACTTTGGTACAGCAATTAAGTCACTACCTGGGATGTCCATAACCTCATCAGAATATTAGATTTGAGCCCTGGTATCTATATTTGAGACTCAACTTCCTGCTCATGAGCAGGTGGTGCTTCAAGTCTCTTCCACTACATGGGAAACCTGGATGGTATACTGGTACCAGCCACCAACTTGGGAGGCCTGCATGGAGTTGCAGGCTCTTGGCATTAGTTGGTCCCAGGCCTGACTTTTGGAACCATTGGAGAGTGAATCAAGAAATAAAAAATTGGGCCAGGAGTGGTAGCCTAGTGGTCAAGGCCCTTGCCTTGTACATGCCCGGATCCCTTATGGGCACTGATTATAATTTCAGCAGCCCCGTTTCCCATCCAGCTTCATGCTTGTGGCCTGGGAAAGCAGTGGAGGGTAGCCCGAAGTTTTGGGACTCTACACTCACATAGGAGACCTGGAAGAAGCTCCTGGCTCTTAGCTTTGGATTGGCACAGCTCCAACCATGGTGGCCATTTGGGGAGTGAATCAATGGACTGAAGATTTTCCTCTCATGTCTGTCCTCCTCTCTATATATCAGACTTTCTAATAAAATAAAATAAATCTTTAAAAAAAAGAAAATAAAAGATGCTTGTCTAGCTCTTTCTCTCTTTGTTGCTCCCTCCTGTCTCTGC